ACAACTTACTTGCAGGGAAAAAAACTTTGCTTCAAAATGTCTTGATTGACACATTAAAAATTCTTAATTTTTTGTTCATAAATAATAACAGAAAAGAATATGAAAAAGAATATGTGTATATATATACATATATAACTGAATCACTATGCTGTATAGCACAAATTATACTATATTGAAAAACAACTATAATTCAGTAAAATAAATTTTATAAATATTAATAAATAAATTAAAATTCTTATTTTTACATCGACATTTTTACAAAAGTTATTTCTTTTTTAATGTACTTGACTTTATTGATGTTTCTCTATTTCCCAAGGCACCAGTTTGAAAAAGCAGTTATTTTTTTATTTAGGCTGTGCCAAGTCTTAGTTGTGGGATGTGGGTTCTTTAGCTTCAGAATATGGGGTCTTCAGTTGGCATATGGGATCTTTAGTTGCAACATGTGAGATCTAGTTCTCCAACCAAGGTTCGAACTCTGGCCCGCTGCCTTGGGAGCTCAGAGTCTTAGCCACTGGACCCCCGGGGAAGTACTTCAAATCCATATTGTAAAAATATCTCCTGTAGCCACTGAGGTGCTGGAGCTCCTGGCAGCCCCTCATCCTGAGGAAAGGGAAGTTGGAGACGGAGATGGTCCCCAAAATGTGATACTCACGGCGGAGAAGCAGGGCAGAGATAAAGATGAAAGCATCACTCTTCAAGTAGTCTAGAGACACCCCCAGGGCACTCCTGGAGTCCACCCCAAACTGGTGCCTGGCACCAGCATGAGCCCTCTGAGCCCCGCCTGCTTCTCAGGATTCCCATGTGCTTAGACCTCAGCCCCACCAGCGTCCTTCAGCAGAAGGAGCGAGAATGTGGAGAAATGCATGTGAGAGGTCGTGATGGGTCAGATCTGAAAGGACACACACCAGGTCCTCTCCTGTTCCACTGACAGCGACATGGTCCTGTGGTGACAAAGGAGGCTGGGAAGTCTTCCCCATGTGTCCCCAAGAGGGCAGAACAATTAAAGTCGTCAGCAACAGTGAGTATTCATTTCAATTTACTTAGCTTTCAAATGTTTAGTGACTGTTTACCAGACACCAAGCTCTGTGCAAAGAATGGCCTGAAAATTGATTGAGCAGCATCTTGGTCAGAGAGAAGCTCTGAATCCACAGAAGGAGATAAGACACGGTGGGAAGTGCCTGCCATCCCAGGAGAAAAGGATAAAGAGAACATCTTCTGGAAGTTCATAGAGTGATTCTAGATTGGAAGGTGCCTGGAGATGATAAAATTTGGACTCCACTTTCAGAAAAGAACAGGATACCAGTGGGGGAAGCTGGAACAAGAGCTTGGAAGCAGGGCCTTTAAGTACAAGGTGTCATAAGAAATAGTATCATATTGAATTCATTAAATTTGTACACTCTAAAGTTATGAATGGTTGGAACAATTACTCATATTAAATGAAAAAGAGTCGAGTAAGATAAGGTAATCCAATTTTTTACAAAGCTATATAAATCCAGATGAAATCATACAGATATGTTGAGTGATATAGTTCTCTATTTTCTAAGATATTTTCTTGTAAATATAAACAGAAAAATGCCATATACTGCTTTGCTTGGATAGACGAACTTCTTCCCAACAGATACACAGAGCTGTGGTGTAGACAAGTGAACCCAGCGCATTCCCACCCTCTCTCTCTCTGCGTGACCTGTGAGGCAGAGACCTCCTCTCTAGTCTCTCCTGTGGACCCCACCGCCTGACTCAGGGGCTCAGTCAACACTCTCTGAAACACTGCACTTGGAAAGTTGCCTCTTGTGTCTTAGTCAAGACAATGACTTCCTCTAGAAGGCACCCGCGAACACCGAATCTTACAAACCTTGGTTTGCTCTGACAGCAGGACTGTGAAGCTGGCAAGTTGGAAAATGGGCTTCCATATTTGTCAAGGAGCCCTGCAGCACTCATGCCATTCCTCACTTTACCACTAGAGGGCGGTTGTTACTGCTTACAAGGAACACACCGTCCCGTTCTCTAGTTGTCCTCTCCAAATTAGGCTTAGTCAGAGCTTGTTTTATAAACATAGAGGATTTCTTTAAGGTACATCGATTTACTTTTCTTCTTTAATCTCACTTGGAAGCTATTGAAAGTCCACTACAGGTAACAAACGTAAGATGTGCCCCTGATATAAGTTGTCTCTGTGAAACACAGACATGTAAAATTATGTGTTCAGTCGCTCATCTGTGCCCACCTCTGTCCTGCCCTGTCTCTCTCTATCATCTATAAACATCTATCTGTGTAAAACAGCTTTTGACAGTCTACGTAATGTACTAGAGATGTTTTTCAATCATGTTTCCCCTGCTTTGTGATATGAATCTTTGGGGACCAAGTGGTCTGCTCAGAAGACAATTGGGAATGTCCCTGACACCCTAGGAGACCATGTGAAGGTGAACAGTAGATCTCAGTAAAGTCATCCAGAGAGGGAGATCTGCTGAGCAGAGCCAAGGTCGGGTCCACACTATCTCCTGTCCCCAAAGCACAAAGTCTGCCTTCCTGGCGGAACTTTGCTAAAATCCTATATATTCTAAGAAACCACAGGGTAAGAATAATAAGCAATGGTTGTAATAATTGTGAGAGAGAGATGAGGTGATGAGTTTAGTTACTGGTTTTTCTCTGCCAACGACAGCCTACACTGTATTCCATTATAACCTGGTGCTCAGCCATGTGAGAGTAGAGTCTACATCTTGGTTTTGAGTGTATGACAGGCCCCCAACCCAGCACTGGGCAAAGCAGACATGCCAATACTGCTGAATGAACACATTTGGGATCAGGACCTGACAGATTTGAGAATGTATTTGAAGTCAGGACTCTCCTGGAGCCGTCCTGACAGGAGGACATCATAAATCAGCTGCCACCTGATTTATGGAGAGCCTTCCCATAGCACCCCTCAGCCAGGACCCACCTAGTTCCAGGTACTCCCCAGATCAAATCTCTCCATCTGCTCTAACTTCTCATGCTTACTTTGGCCTCTTTGATTGTCCTACTGTGTGTTGTCCACTCTAGGGATCTGGGGACACCTCTGATACCCTTAGTAAACTAACACCAGATCCTACAGAGCTAAAGCTTAAATACGGGATTTAATTGACAGGAAATAATTACATGGACAAGTAAAGTTCTACATGACTCTATCTTAATGATGCTGCTTTTCTTGAACAATGAATGGTAAACCTGATGGCATAAAACAGGTGTGTGCTTTCTTTGAAGTGAGCAAGCTTGGTGAATGTCGCACTTTCTCTGATGATGGTCTAAAAGGCCAGATGCTCTGCAAGAGGACAGAAGTAAAGTATGTCATGTTATAATGAGGTATAGAATGTTATTATAATTCTAAAATTGGCTATTATTCACTTGTGCTACAGTAATTTAAAAGAAAACTGTGAATAGTGGTCTGTTAAACTTCTCATGTTTAGATTAAATCCAGAAGATGGTGTTCTAATCTTAACATGTATCTTGCACAAATATTGTTATGTTGCATTTCTTATTGCAAAAATGAGCTGCTTCCCTCAGGAAAATCAAAAGTTTATGGTCACATCTCAAAATGCTAATAAATAGTTTTTTTTTCCTCCAAAGAACCAAAAGTATCTTCTATGATGACATGGGAAGTACAGGTAAAGTGCTTCTGCTACATTCCAAAGACCAGATACCCAAGGAAAATAATCTCCATGAGCTGAACTACCCTCTCTTGCATGGAATACAAACTTCACTTGAAAGAGTGAATGACACTGGAAGATTTATTTAACTTAGCGAAACAGTGTATTACTTACAAAAAATCTTATAGTAGTATAAGAGATTCAATATGGAAAAAAGGCTTAGGGACTATTTACTGTAGTAAATAGTCAATGATATAGTTTCAGGCCCACTTTGAAAATAATCTTTAAGAAACTACCAGTTCTGTAGTTTTAGATTTGTATCAAAGATGAATTTACATAATTACCTGAAAAGCTTATTAAAAATACTACTCCTACATATATGTGGGCCATTTTATTTTCATAGATTTCAATCAAAATAACGGATTGAACGTAGAAGCAAAGGTGAAAATCCAGTGGTCTTCTAATGACACAGGAAGAAAGGGAATAGTAAAAATATAAAAACGTAAAAAGCTTCACTGTTCCCACTACCACGTTTGTTTTGGGAAATAACTTATTTTTCATATTAGATGCACGGGTTACTAACATTATTCTAAACTAATTAAAGAATTTAAACTTTATTATTTCTAATAAATAATATTAGAAAATATATTAGAAAAATTAGAAAATCCTTGGAAAATATCGATAGGACTCAGGGAGACAGTGTGACAAAGACCTCTCGGTGCAGGAGGGGAGGGATCAGGGCAAAGTCCCATGTCCCCAGAGGCTCTCAGGGTGCAGGACGGTGTCTGGGGCGGGGTCGGTCAGTGTCGGAGATTCCCAGTCTCCCGAGTTTCATTTCTCTCTCACAACCTGTGTCGAGCCCTCCTGCCTGGACACTCGTAACGCGGCCCCAGTTCTCACTCCCACTGGGTGTCCGGTTTCTAGCAGCCAATCAGTGTCCCCGTGGTTCCCGGTTACAAAGCCTCCACAGACCCGCCGGACTCAGCTTCCCCCAAGGGCGGAGAATGCTGGCCATGGGGTTGCGAACCCTCCTCCTGCTGCTCTCGGGCGCCCTGGTCCTCACCGAGACCCGGGCCGGTGAGTGCTGGGTCGGGAGGGAATGGCCTCTGAGGGGAGGGGCGAGGGGACCGCCCGGGAGTCGGGGGGCTGGGCGCAGGACCCCCAGGGAAGGAGCGACCCCGCCGTCTCATCCCAGACCTGCCCCCTGCCCCCGTCCTGTCCTGTCCCCTCCTTGCTCCCCAGCCCCCCAAGTCCTGGTCCTTCTGGGACCTTTTCCGTCTCACGAGCCCGTCGCCCCTCCCTCCCCTCCCTGCCCCGTCACCTCGGACCCGGGATCCGCGCCGGTAGGAGGTCGGACCGGGTCTCACACCTTCCCGCCCCCAGGCTCCCACTCCCTGAGGTATTTCCTCACCAGCGTGTCCCGGCCCGGCCTCGGGGAGCCCCGCTTCATCATCGTCGGCTACGTGGACGACACGCAGTTCGTGTGGTTCGACAGCGACGCACCGAATCCGAGGATGGAGCCGCGGGCGCGGTGGGTGGAGCAGGAGGGGCCCGAGTATTGGGATCAGGAGACGAAGAGGGCTAAGAACACCGCACAGACTTTCCAAGTGAACCTGAACACCCTGCGCAGCTACTACAACCAGAGCGAGGCTGGTGAGCGACGTGGACCCGGGTCCAGGTCACGACCCCCATCCCCAGGGACCGGCCCGGGATCTCCCCGAGTCTCCGGGTCCGAGGGTCACCCCAACACTGTGAGACCCGCCCCTCCTCCCGACCCGGGAGGTGCTCGCGGGGACTAGACGCGGTTTCATTTTCAGTTTGGGTTTAATCCCTGCGGGTGGTCGGGGCGGGTCAGGGTCTCACACCTTCCAGTGGGTGTACGGCTGCAACGTGGGGCCTGACGGGCGTCTCCTCCGCGGGTTCGAGCAGTTTGGCTACGATGGAAGAGATTACATCGCTCTGAACGAGGACCTGCGCTCCTGGACCGCGGCAGACACAGCGGCTCAGATCACCAAGCGCAAGTGGGAGGCGGCAGGCCTTGCGGAGGAACACAGGAACTACCTGGAGGGCGGGTGCATGGAGTGGCTGCGAAGATACCTGGAGAACGGGAAGGACACGCTGCTGCGCGCAGGTTCGAGGGGCGTGGGGCCTCTCTGATCTCCCCTCAGGCTGGAGCTGGCTTCCCAAGAGGAGAGGAAATTGGGGTCCCTGTGGGAGCATCACCCCAACTTCTTGTCAAGAGAGGGAGGAATCTGCCCAGGTTTTCATATTCTGTACATGGTGACTTGCCAGTGGCCCCATTTCTCAAAAGGACAATTAAGGAATCCAGTGTCTTTGGGGAAGAAGCAGGAAACCATCCCTGAAATAACTGGTCAGCGCTGCCCTTTGACCCTGGCCGCCATCTTGTGAACCTTGACTCTCTCTCAAGGCCTGTTCTCACCCTGAGAGCATCTTAGGAGGCCTGAGTCCAGCGTTTCTGAGTCACTCAGCCTCCACTCAAGTCAGGAACAATACAGAAAAAGCTCTGTATTCTTTTCACATGCAGCCTCTTACCTTGGCTCTCACCCTGACTCCAGAACTTTCCAAGGACTAGGCGATGTTCCCAGACCCTGGAGTCCAGGCTGATGTCTGGTGTTTGTGCTTCTTTTCAAACCCACTATCTTGTTTATTCTTGGGATGATCACCTGATGCTGCTTCAGTGCACCATGGAGGTAACACAAAGTGTGAGTTTTCTGATTCTTCTTCCTCAGACCCTCCGAAGGCACACGTCAACCATCACCCTATCTCTGACCGTGAGGCCATCTTGAGGTGCTGGGCCCTGGGTTTCTATCCTGAGGAGATCTCACTGACCTGGCAGCGTGATGGGGAGGACCAGACCCAGGACATGGAGCTTGTGGAGACCAGGCCTTCAGGGGATGGAACCTTCCAGAAGTGGGCGGCCCTGGTGGTACCTTCTGGAGAGGAGCAGAAATACACATGCCATGTGCAGCACGAGGGGCTTCCGGAGCCCCTTACCTTGAGATGGAGTAAGGAGGGGCGTGGGGTGGAGCTTCTTCTCAGATAAAGCAGGTATCTTGAGAACTTCTACAAGGTCAGGACTCAAGCCTGAGGTCAGGGCCCCTTCATTTTCCTCCACAAAATCTCCTGAACCCTCCATCCCCATCATGGGCATCATTACTAGCCTGGGTCTCCTTCTGGTCGGTGGAGCTGTGGTGGGTGGAGCTGTGATGTGGAGGAAGAAGCACTCAGGTAGGGAAGGGAGGGAGAGATCTGAGTTTTCCAGTCTTTCTTGGGGTTTCAAGCCCAGGTAGAAATTTTCCTGCTTCATTACTGAAAAGTACCCTCCACACACTTGTGGAATCTGGAGCTGATGCTAACACTGACCCTGACCCTTTTGTAAAGTACCTGTGAAAGACAGAATTTTCACTTTCGTAATTCCAGTTGGAGACTAGATGTTTCTCAGGACTTGAAGGTCAGAGGGGAAGGTCCTCACTGACTACAGGTCCCCAGGAGGACAGTTAGTCCAGTCCTCCCTCATTTCCTTCTTTTGTGTTCCTGATTTTGTCCTGGATTTTTCGTCACAGTTCCAGAAAGTTTTCTGGGGTCCAGGATTAGGGGGTTCCGCTAGGATCTCATGACTCAGTTGTCTCCCTGGCCTCTCACATGATGTTTTCTTCTCACAGATGAAAAAGAAGGGCGCTCCGCTCAGGTTGCAAGTAAGTATGGAGGGAGTGTGATTCCAGAGACACCTTGTGAGGGTGCAGACGGGAGGCCATCAGGGGTTCACCCTCATCAAAGTTCATTCTCTAGTTTCTCTCCTGTGGATTCTGACCATGTCCTGGTTTTGCTCTCCCCCAGGCAGTTACAGTCCCCTGGTCTCTGATGTGTCTCTCATGGGTCCTTTAGGTGAGATCCTGGAGCGTCTAGTTGGGAGACGAGTTGGGGCAGAGGGGACACACTGGGTGGTGGGGATCTTTGAGTGGGACATGTGAGCATGTTGGCGAGGGGCTGTTGAGAATGTCAGCCCTACATGACTGACCTGAACTGGTTCCTGATTCTTTTCTCTCACAGTGTGAGACAGCTGCCTTGTGGGGACTGAGTGATGCTCGGTGCCACTTTGTGACGTCAGATCCCCAGACTCCCTTTTCTGCAGCTGCATCTGAATGTGTCTGTGCTCCTATTAGCATAACATGAGGAGGTGGGGAGACTGCCCACCCCTGCCCACTGCCCTGACTCCCCACCCTGACCTGTGTTCTCCTCCCTCATCTACTGTCCTGTTCTAGCAGAGGCAGTGCTGGGTGGGACTCTATCCCTGTCTTAACTTTACGTTACACTGAGTAATGATACCGTATTTCCTTGTTGAAAATAAAATTTATATATATGAATTTTTTTAATTGGTGCCACAAGGGGTTGATGGGATGATAAAGGAGAGGATTCCTAAAATTTGAGAGAGGAAATAAATGGAAACTCTGAGAACTTTCCAGCATATGTGTGTGCTATATTCAGTCTGTTGCAGGTGACGCAAGAGGAAGCTGTGAGGAGCCAAGTAAAGTACCCAGTCAGTGTTCAGTGCGTTGTGGTTTTGACATGGTCACTCCCAGGCTGGGTCATCTTCTCTGGTCCTTTGTCCTTGTCTCTTCAGTAAAACATTGTCCCACCAGGACCTGTGATCTCGGAGGAAGTCTCCAGGTCAGTCTTGGTTCAAGCCTTCATCCAGTTCTCAGCCCCCATCTTTTGGGTGTTTCTTTGTTGTTTCTTTTCTTCTTTAGAGATTTTTGCCTGAGTTTGTGTTTTATTCTCATCTGGGTGTCCACCATCTCTGACAGCTGGAGGAGCTGTTTTCCTGTCATGGTCCCACAAGGCCCAAGACTGCCCATGCACACAGGAGACTTTGGTGTCCAGAGGTGTATTTTCAGGTTCATCCAGGTCTTGCCCTCCTTCTAGGGTTTGGTTGATTGTTTTTTCCATATTTCCCCCTACCTTCTCAAAGGATCCAGATTCTGGAAGTAGCAGGAAGGAGGGAAAGCTTAATTTCTCATCTTAGATTAGATCCTGTCCGAATTCTGTTCTGCTTGCCTACCCACTCTTCCTGCCCTTAGCTCTAGTAATCCTAGTGCTGGCTCCAATACAAACTCATAGATTTATAAAGCAGCATCTAATTTAGCTTTATATTGGGTTGGAAAATAGGACCTATAAGTCAATTATTATTTTTTTCTGAAAAGAAAAAATATTTTTTTTTATTTTTTCTGAAAAGAAAAAATATAATTGTGTGATGTAGTGTGGAGGATGGTCCTTGAGGGGAAGGGGAGAGAAGCACTTGTGAGAAAAACACAGATGTGAATGTGAGTAGATACTGTGCTGCTGCTGTTGTTGCTCAGTTGCTAAGCCTGCAGCATGGCAGGCTTCCCTGTCCTTAACCATCTCCAAGAGATTGCTCCGAATTCATGTCCATTGAATCAGTGATGATATCTAAACATCTCATCCTCTGTTCCCTTCTCTTTTTGCCTTCCATCTTTCCCAGGATCAGGGTCTTTTCCAATGACTGGGCTCTTTGAATCTGCTGACCAAAGTATTGGTGCTTCACCTTCAGCATTGGTGCTTCAGTGAATGTTCAGGATTGTTTTCCTTTAGTATTGACTGTTTTGATCTCCTTGCTGTCCAAGGGACTCTCAGGAGTCTTCTCCAGCACAGTTCGAAAGCATGAATTCTTAGGCACTCACTCTTTATGGCCCAACTCTGACATCCATACATGACTACCAGAAAAACCCTAACTTTAACTGTACAGAACTTTATCCACAAAGTGATGTCTCTTTTTTTTAATATGTAGGTTTTTAACATGTAGGCTTTAATATGTAGGTTTTTTAATATGTAGGTTTTAATATCTAGGTTTGTCAGAGCTATCCTTCCAAGGAGCAGGCATCTTTTAATTTCATGGCTGCAGTCACCATCCGCAATAATTTTGGAATCCAGGGAAAAAATGGTCAGTTTTCACTCCAATCCCCCAAAAAAGGCAATGCCAAAGAATGTTCAGACTACCATACAATTGTGCTCATTTCACATGCTAGCAAAGTAATGCTCAAAATCCTTCAAGCTGGGCTTCAACAGTATGTGAACCGAGAATTTTCAGATATATAAGCTGGATTTAGAAAAGGCAGAGAAACCAGAGATTAAATTGTGAACATTTGTTGGCTCCTGGAGAAAGCAAGGAAATTCCAGAAAAACATCGACTTCTGCTTCAGTGACTACACTAAAACCTTTGACTGTGTGGATCAAAACCAACTGTGGAAAATTCTTAAAAAGAGATGGAAATAGCAAACCACCTTACCTGCCTCCTGAGAAACCTGAATGCAGGTCAAGAAGCAATAGTTAGAGCCAGACATGGAGCAATGGACTGGTTCAAAATTGGGAAAGGAGTAAGTCAAGGCCATGTGTTGTCGCCTTGTTTATTTAACTTCCATGCAGAGTATGTCATGAGAAATCCCAGGCTGGATGAAGCACAAGCTGGAATCATGATTGCTGGGAGAAATATCAATAGCCTCAGATATGCAGATGACACCACCCTAATGGCAGAAAGTGAAGAGGAACTAAAGAGCTTCTTGATGAAGGTGATAGAGGAGAGTGAAAAAACTGGCTTAAAACTCAACAATCAAAAAACTAAGACCATGGCATCTTGTCCCGTTGCTTCATGGCAAATAGATGGGGAAACAAGGAAAACAGTGACAGACTTTATTTTTTGGGCTCCTAAATCACTGCAGACAGTGACTGCAGCCATGAAATTAAAATATGCTTGCTCCTTTAGTTTTGGACAAAAAGCTACGACAAACCTAGACAGCATATTAAAAAGCAGAGACATCACTTTGCTGACAAAGCTTTGTGTAGCCAAAGCTATGGTTTTTCCAGTAGTCATGTATACAGATGTGAGAGTTGGACAATAAAGAAGACTGAGTGCCAAAGAATTGATGCTTTTGAACTGTGGTGCCAGAAAAGATTCTTGAGAGTCCATTGGACAGCAAGGAGATCAAACCAGTCAATCCTAAAGGAAATCAACCCTGAATACTCATGGGAAGGACTGATGCTAAAGCTGAAACTCCAATACCTTGGCCACCCAATGCAAAGAGCCAACTCATTGGAAAAGATCCTGATGCTGGCGAAGATTGAAGGCAGGAGGAGATGGGAACGACAGAGAATGAGATGGTTATATGGCATCACTGATTCGATGGACATGAGGTTGAGCAAGCTCCAGGAGATGGTGAAGGACAGGGAAGCCTGGTGTGCTGCAGTCCATGGGATCACAAAGATTCAGACATGACTTATCGACTGAACAACAGCAAAGAAAATAAAATCTGTCACTGCTTCCACTTTTTCCACTTCTATTTGCCATGAAGTGATGGGACCGGATGTCATGATCCTCCTTTTTTGAATGTTGAATTTCAAGCCAACTTTTTCACTTTCCTCTTTAACCCTCATCAGGAGGCTCTTTTGTACCTATTTATTTTCTGTCATTAGAGTGGCATCATCTGCACATCTGAGGTTGTTGATATTTCTCCCGGCAATCTTGATGAATCTTGTGATTCATCCAGCCCAGGATTTTGCTTGATGTACTGTGCGTATGATGAGTTAAATAAGCAAGGTGACAGTATACAGTCTTGTTGTACTTCTTTCCCAGTGTTTGAACTCTGAAGGGATGTGATCCATAGTTCAAATTTGGAAAGGAATTCGACAAGGCTGTGATCCATGAAGTAGTGATGTACTGTAATTGTCACAAAACAACATTTATCCTGAGGTCCCATTAATAAAAATACTGTGTCTAGAAATAGGGAGGTGCATTACATTCACCGTTCATTCAGCTGATACCTGTTGTGTGCCAGATACATGACACAATGAAAACATTGGGAAACATCATTGAAGTTAGAAAAATTGCTGGCCTTGTGGAGCATGTACTGTGGTGAGAAGAGACAGACTATATGCAATGAACGTAGTAAATAAGGAAAGTGTTCTGTTATTACTTCCCTGGTATTTCAGATGGTAAAGAATCTGCCTGCCAATGCAGGAGACACAGGAGATGCAATCCCTGGGTCAGGAAGATCCCCTGGAGAAGGAAATGGCAACCCATGCCAGTATTCTTGCATGGAGAATGCTATGGACAGAAGAGACTGGCAGGCTACAGCCCATAGGGTCCAAAAAGTCGGACTTGACTGAGTGACTAACACTTTCACTTTCTGTTACAAAAGGACACATACAATGGAAAAGATGCAGTGAAGAAGGTGATCTAGTATGTGAACAGAGAAGATGGTTATTTTACTAGGGTGGCCAAGGTGGGCCTCACTTGGATGGTGATCTTGGTGGAAAGATTTGAAGGATGTGAGGAATTATCCCCGAGGATGTCTGAGGAATCTTCTTTCCAGGCAGAGGGAATCTCCAGATAAATGCACCAGGGTAGGAACATGTCTGTATGTTCCTGTTAAAATGAGAAGGCCAGTATGGCTGGAGCAGAGATTAATTGAGATGAGGTCAGAGGTACAGCCAGACCTTGTAGGCCTGGAGGATATTGGAAAGATTTTGACTTTTGCTCTGAAGTGAGATGGAAGTTATAGTTTTATTTAATATTTTTATTTTATTGGAGTATAGTTGATTTATAGTATGTTAGTTTCAGGTGTACAGCAAAACGTTTCAGTTATGCATATACATATATTCATTCTTTTTTAGATTCTTTTCTCATATAGGTTATCACAGAAGATTGGGTGGAGTTCCCCATACTATACAGTAGGTCCTTGTTGATTATCTATCTTATATATAGTAGTGTTTGTGTTCACCTAAGCTCCTGATTTATCCCTCTTCCCTACGTTTGCCTTTTGGTAACCATAAGTTTGTTTTTAATATCTGTAAGTCTGTTCCTGTTTTATAAATGAGTTCTTTTGTATCTTAAAAAAAAAAATTGATTCCAGGGACTTCCCTGGTGGTCCAGTGGCTAAGACTCCACACTTTCAGTGCCAGGGGCCTGGGGTTCCATCCCAGGTCAAGAAACTAGCGCCCACATGCCACAACTAAAAAGAGCCATGTGCTGTATCTAAGACCCAGTGCAACCAAATAAATAAATAAATAAATAAAAATAGATTTTACTTATGGTTGATATTATATGGAATTTCTCTTTCTCTGTCTGATTTACTTCACTTAGAATGATAATCTTTAGGTCCATGCATGTTGCTGCCAATGGCATTATTTCATTCTTTTTTTATGGCTGAGTAATATTCCACTGAACCTCTCCTTTACAAGGAGCATTTGGCTGCTGGGCTGAGAACAGAACTGGGAGGTGAGGAGTGAGTGAGTTCAGGGGGAAGTGATGGCAATTAGTACAGTGTCCAGGCTGGAGATGGACATTGCTTCAACTGGGGTATGGGCTATGGATGTAGTGGGAAGTGATTGTATTCTCTGCATGTTCTAAAGATGGACTTTGCAGCATTTCCTAAAGGACTAAATCTGGGGTATGAGAAAGAGGAGTCAAGGGGACACGCTCAATTTTGGACTATGTAAGTAAAAAGATGGAATTACTCTCATCAGAGATGGGGAAGACCAAGAAGCATATTTTTGGAGGGAGGGGACATTATGGGCATTTGGCTTAAGAGACGTTGAAGCTGAGATTTTATTAGAAATACAAGCCAGGTAGTTGGATTGGCAGTTTGACAAATGAGTCTGGAGTTTAAGAGAAACGTCTGTACTGGAGAAATAGATTTGGGTGGCTGATGTTGAAGCTGAAAGTCCAATATTTTGGCCACCTGATGCGAAGAGCTACCTCATTTGAAAGGACCCTAATGTTGGGAAAGACTGAAGGCAGGAGGGGAAGGGGATGACAGAGGATGAGATGGTTGTATGGCATCACCGACTCAATGCACATGGGTTTGGGTAAACTCTGGGAGTTGGTGATGAACAGGGAGGCCTGGCATGCT